TCAGGAATTTTTTTTCTTTTTTTTTTTTTTTTTTAAATTTTCCAGAGGACATATGTGCTTGCCAGAGATAAGAGAGATAGAGAGAAAGCACCCTCCATGGGGGATGTTCGCATCACAATCCCTTCTCCTCCGTTTCCCTCTGCAGGATTTTGGACACACACCCCGTGCATCTTTCAAGCCAGAACTTGAACCGTGCTGCTGGCTATGTGGGTCTAGCCATCTTAAACACCCTGCTACTAGTTGGCCCTGAATTAGTGATTTCTAATAGCAACATGGAGTCTCTGGGTTTCTATAAAACAATGATATCTAACAGAGAAGAGGATCCTGATGGAGGAGAGAACTATATATAGACAAATTTTTCTAATGGCCGAGGAATTCTAACAGAATATGGAAGTCAGAAGGACCGAATTCCATTCTAATGAGGCAAAGAGATCTAATGGGGCAGAGAATTCCTATGGGTTTGAGAATTTCATGGGTGGGTTATTTTAACAGGCCACAGAATTCTAAAGGGCAGAAGGCTCTGGAAAAGGTCCAGGTTCGTACCTATCTCGGAGCCACCACCTTCTGCCTGCAGAGCCCACAGCAGGATCTCGTTGCCTGTGGCCGCAGCCACCATCTTGTCATGCTCACCCAAAGCCCCTCCAGGAACACGGGCTGTGAGCGCCAGTCGCTCGATAGGCCAGTCTAGGCGGGGGCTGGAAAACACCAGCTGCCAGCCGGAGGCTTCCTTCAGCCTGCAGGATTTTAGGGACGTCATCAGCCCTCCCCACCAACAGCGCTCAGAGCCTCCCGCCACCCACTCCTGAGCACCTATAGCAGACGAGGAACTGGGAATAGGCCACGGCGATCCAGTTGTGGTGTCCACACACCAGGCGCACCATTCCCGGCTCCTCTGGTTGCCCTTGGTGGGGAAAGGTAGGGATCAGAGCAGGCCCAGAGGTCCTGCTCCATGTCCCAGGAGAGAGAATCCTACCAGAGGGGGAGGGAGGGGCTTTCTCATCCAGCATTCGGCCCAGCAGCCCTGCATTGCCCAGGTTGGGGGGCATCGTGTTGCTCCTACGAACAGGGGCTGGGCGTCCTCCCACCTGCTGGGGCCCCACCAGGCTATGCCGGTTCCTCCGCTTCACCGGGAACACTGCAGTGGGGAGAAGAGACAGAGTAACAACTGTAATCATGGCTGCCATGTAGCAAGTGCCTCAGATAGGACCGACCCTGATTTCCCCAAGTGTAGAGCGCAGTCTCTGGTGAGGATTTTAGGTATGTTAGGTGGTGCAGGGACATGACATTCAAAGATACTGAATCACAAAGTGAGTTGTGCCCTCTTCAGTTCCCTTGAGACCACCATGAAGGAAGATGCCATTTGGTGCTGCTGTGATATTACCTGCTCCTCAATATTTGCTAATCTTTCTTTTTTCTTTTATGTTTTTGCCATGGTGTATGTGTACTCACCAGAAAGAGACAGAGAGAGGGAGAGGGAGAAATCCTCCTCCAGGGTAGGATGCCCACACCACATTCCCTTCTCCTCTTGGGATTTTGGGCACACATGCATCTGTGCCTGGCATGATTTTTGAGTTGTTGGGGTCCAGGACTTGAACCATGGTCAGCCATGTGGAATCCAGGGCTTATCACCACACTACCTGCTGGCCCTGTTAATCTTCCTTTTTAATAGATGGAAGTCTCCACCCTTGGCAGGCTATAGCATTTAGCTATGTTTAATAACATCTTAATAAAGAATTATTTATTTAATTTTGTTCATTGTTTTTATTTTCTAATTTGACCAGAGAGACAGAGAGAGACAGGAAGGGAAATGACTGAGGTTAAGGAAGGAAAAAAGCCATGAATCAAATTTCCTCACTCTGGGACCAGCGGATAGCATAATGGCTATGTCACTGGACTCCCATGTAGTCGACTGTGGTTTGAATGGTGGCTTAAACTCACGCCGGGCGCGTGTGCATGCGTGCCCAAGATCCCGAGAGGAGAATGGAGGAGAAGGGATTGCAGCGTGGCCATCCCCCCTGGGGGGTGATTTTTCGCTTTCTATCTCTCTGTCTCTCTGTGTTTGTCTGGTGAGTGCACGTGCCCTACAGCAAAAAAAAAACCTCTCCAAAAAAAGAAAAAAAAATTTCCTCACTCTGTTCCCTCTATCAGTCAGCAAAGCCTGTGGGCTATGGGTCCCAATAACAGCCAGGATATACTTTCATTGGCAAGTGGGCTGGCTGCTTGAAGGACTCATGGGAATTATAATCAATAAGTTCCCTTTAAGATTTCTTTTTTTATTTTATAATTTTTTTACTTACTTAATTTATTATTATTATTATTTTCACATGACTTTTGCCAGAGAAAGACAAAGAGAGAGAGAGCAAGCCACCAGGTCCAAGACTTGAACCACGGTCAGCCATATGAGAATTCCAGCACCTTAACTACTATACCACCTGCTGGCCCCCTCCCTTTGAGATTTCTCCTAGAACCAGCAGTTGGCCTAATGGCTATGTCCCTGGACTCCCATGTAGCCGACCATGGCTCGAGTCTTGTATCTGGTGGCTTAAACTCACGCCGGGCGTGTGTGAGTGCGTGCCCAAGATCCTAAGAGGAGAATGGAGGAGAAGGGATTGCTGCATGGCCATTCCCCCTAGGTGGTGATTTCTCACTTTCTGTCTCTGTCTCTCTCTGTCTTTCTGGCGAGTGCATGGGCCCTATAGCAAAAACCTCTACAAAAAAAAAAAAAAAAAGATTTCTCCCTCCACACAAAGGATGCCAGTTCTTTCAGTCTTTCCACAAGTAAATCAAGGCTAAACTACAACTCCCGTAAGGCTCTAGGACATGCTTCTGAGCCTCGGAGATTTGTTGGCCTGTTGCCTCATGGGAAATGCCCATACCCTAGCTTCCTTTCCAAGCCTCAGCCCAAGCACCTGAAAACAAAACTACAACTCCCATCATGTTACAGGGCTCACAACAGGGAACTCAAGGGCTGTAACCTTATGGGAAATGAAGTCTTTAACACACCCTCTTCCCCTCCATCATGAGTACCCACCTGGTGGGGGCAGATAACCATTAAAGAGGACATTTCCGCAAGAAGAACGATCCAACTCCTCCCGAAGCTGCAGGCGACGAACTGCAAGGAATAGACTCACAGGCTAGGACTGGGGTGTGGGGGGAACTCTTCTCCCACCTCTCTCTTTCTCCATAGAATATCACCACTTTCCTCTGACCCAGGGCCAAACCCACTGCTCTCAGCTTTCATACAACCCTCTTTCAGGAGAGAGGGAGGGAGAAGAGGGGTAGGGAGTATTCAGGAAAAATCACTAGAGGATGCTAATTGGAGACTCTTACTTACCCAGAGGAGTGAGCCCATAGAACTGGGCTTCATGGAGGAGGCTGGAACCATGGACACCCCTGGATGGTAGAATTAAGGAGTCAGGGGTCAGGGTATGGACTGAGGGAGTAGGCAGAGATTTCTGCAGCTTTGGGAACTGCACAGAGACTGTTAAGGGGTAGCACATTTTGACAGGATCACGATTTAAGAAACAATGACATGGGCAGTAAAACTGTGTGTATGTTTAGGGGAGAATTTTTTTTCCAGATTTTTGCCATAGGGTGTGTGCACTTGCCAGAGAGACACAGAAAGAGAGGGAAAGTGAGAAGTTACCCCGCCGTGGGGATGGCCACACAGCAATCCCTTCTTTTCCATTCTCTTCTCGGGATTTTGGGCACACATGCACAGGCGCTTGGCATGTTTTCAAGCCACCCGATGAGGATGGGGAGTAGGGCAGACCAGGGAGCTGGCTATGTGGGATCCAACACCTTACCCACCACATCACCTGCTGGTCCACTGTTTGGGGAGAATTTAAAGACATACGATTTTTACATGACCAGGGTTCTGAATGAAAATCCTAGTAGAATAGAGCTGAAGAGGACATTCTGAGCAGGAAAAGAGACTTCTCAGGGGATGAAGTCGGCGGAGGGACTCTCCGCTTTATCCATGCCAACCTGGGGTCCAACTCTTTGGTGCGCAGGAAGTTAAGGATCGGGGCGAAGACGGTGGGGTCCCTGTCGATGAAGATCTGTGGGAAAGAGGAAACAGTGGATGGACGGGCCAAAGAGGGGGTCTGGGTGTGAATCCTGCCTCCCCCATCTAGCGCCACCCCACTTCAGCTCTTGCTCTACTCACTGCTCCAGTCTCATCTTTCAGCGTCGAGATGCGGCCGCTCAGAAGACTGTAGGGAGGGGACAGGGAGTAGGTGTCACAGACCGGAGTGGAGGTGTGGGGGTGGGTTGTGCAAATTGGATCTTCACACACCCTCTCCTTCCACTCCCCCATCCCCGCCCCAAACTCGTTCTCCCGATCACCTGGAAAAGAAGGAGTCTGGGATCCAGGTGAGTGTCTGGCGAGAGGTACTGAATCTGAGCGGAGTAGGTGAGCGGACGCGAGAGAAGACGGGCAAAGGGTGAGGAACGCAGCTCTCTAAAGATCCAGGGAGTTCCCTTCCCCTCCACCAGCGATTTTCCAGGCTCTCGCGCCTCCAGCAGAGGGCGGAGCAAGCATTGATGGACAGGGATTCCCCCGGAGAGGTGGGTACCCCCACTCTCCCCGCCCCCAAGGGTGGGGCCTCAAAAATCTCCCACACTTACCTTTTGCCTCCCACGTTCAGATGAATCACTTCCCCGGGAGGCCCCCGACTCGGGACCCCCTCGGCTGCAGTCGCCGCTGCCATGGCCCCCAAGGCGAGCGGGCTGGCTTGCACCCGCTTCCGGGTGTGCAACCGGACCTCGCCCCCACTGCTTGTTCATTGGGCCGGAGACGCCCAGAGCCTCCAACGATTGGACATACTGTCCGCCATTCGCGGTTAAATTCTCCGCCTCCTTAAAGGGGCTCTCCTGTCCCGGCCTGGATGGGCGGACCTGGCCGCTACCTTCGGAAGTTTAGTTACTTCCGGTCCTCCGTTCGGCATCTGGGTGTTTTGTGGGCCATGTTTAGACTTGAAAATAGTACACATCAAGGAGTACATACATCTAGGTGTTCTCTGCAGCCACGGGTCTCCCCAACCTCATCAACACAGCCGTGCCTTCAATCCTCCCCAGGTGCAGCCCATGAAACGCGAACAAACCAGCATAGACCGTCAAAGCCAAAGGGTTTATTATAGGTACATACAGTGTGCGCCCGCCACACCGTCCCACACCCCGTGCCCCAGCGCCTTCTTCAGGCGGCCATGAGGGGTGTCCACAACCCTGTTCTCCCACTCCCCAGGGAGGTGCTCCAGCCAGAAGCATGCAAGGGGAGGGCTTCCTCTCACCCCTTCCCTCAAGAGTGGCATTTACAGCTGAGGGGGGAGGAGAGAAGAAGACAGTTTTGAGCTTTGACGCCCCTCCCACTAAAAGCCTTCGCGGATGCGGGGCAGGGGAGGAGGAGGTCAACGTTTTGCAAAAATAAACTAAGTCAGGAATTAACCGCATGGCTCTGAGGCGGTGGCGTGCAGGGGCTGGGGCCCCTTCACTCCCCTCCTCCCATACAGAGATCAAGGCAGCATTGGAAGTGAGGTAAAGGCGGGGAGGGGGTAACCCCTCCTCACCCCCTAGCACCCTGGATGGTCCAGGGGACCTCACCAGCGCCCCCGTGCCCATCCCTAGGGCGGAGAGGGGGACAGAAATGATCGCCCCCACCACCCCAGCTTCTTGGGGCAGGATCTGCAGATTGGGGCAGGGGGCTTGGCTCAACTGGCCCCCTGCCCGCCCCCACCAAGCTCAGTTATTGCATAAAAATAATGGAGCCCCAGCACCTGGGGTGGGGTGGAGAGCGGGAAGGGGCCAAGATATGGCTATAGGGGCAGCAATCCCCCCCACCTCTTCTTGGGGGTGCAGGAGAAGTCCCCTCCTTTCCAGTGCCCGTCATGGCTTGTCTGCAGTGTTGGAACTAGGGGCTCCTGCCTTTCACAGAAGAGAAAGTGTCTTTGTGCCCACAGTGCAGAGAGGACGGGGAGACCTGTCAGGTACCAGGAGTGGGGAGTCACTTCCTGCGCCCACTGGCCCTGCGTTCTCCGCCCTCTCGCTTGGGATTGCCCTCGTCTGTGGATGAAGTGGTGGGTAGTGTCTGGCCCCAACGGGCTATCTCCGAGTGTTCAGCCACCGAGGCGGCCACAGCCTCCAGCCATCCGTTCATCTCCTCCTAGAGGAAGAAAGGGCACAGAATCTGTATCCTGAAGAAAGGCACTCAAGACACAGATGAATCTCATTCAGACTGCCCTCTTTGAATTTCGGTTTCCTCATTTATTAAGTGGGACTGATGATGGTAATGAGATGATGCAGTTACATAGCACTTCCTATGTGCCAGGCTCTGTTCTAAGCATTACACAAATGACACAATATGATCACTTGTAATTCCCAGTACAGAGATAAACGAGGTGACTCAAGGAGACACATTGCTGTTTGCCAGGCCCTGCACTAAGTGCTCTACATCAACTCTAATTCTCCCAGGAATCCTATGATAAACTACTTTTATCTCCATTTACAGGGAAGTAAAAGGAGGCATGGAGAGAAAGCCTACTTTGTAGACTCTTTGTGCTGACTGAATGAGCTAACAAGTGTTACTTATTACTCTCAATCTCTCTCTTTTTTTTTCTAGAGGTTTTTGCTACAGGGCGCATGCACTCGCCAGAAAGATAGAGAGAGACAGAGACAGAAAGTGAGAAATCACACCACAGGGGGGATGGCCATGCTGCAATCCCTTCTCCTCTATTCTCCTTTCAGGATCTTGAGCACAACGCATACACACCCGGCATGAGTTTAAGATGCCGGGTCTGGGACTCGAACTGCGCTCGACTACATGGGAGTCCAGCGACATAGCCATTATGCTAATTCCTGGTCCCACTCTCAATCTCTCTTCAACCTGCCTCCAAGCCTGCCCCTCCTCCCCTGACCCTACCTCTTAGCCCCAGTTCTGAGGTCCACTCACAAATCTGTTTCTCTTCACTGCCTTTTCCTCCTCCCCCAAAATGCTAGCCTGGTCTCACTTGAGTCCCTGACCACGTGGCCTCCTGGGCTCCCTACCTCCACTCTCAGCCCCTCCAGTATACCCTGCACATTGGTAGCCAAAGGGAGCTTTCTTACTCTTTGCTAACCTCCCCCAGCTCAAAATCCTACCATGACTTCCTAGTGCCCTGAGGACAAAATCCAACCTCCTTTAAGTGGCCCAAAATGTCCTGAGCGATCTATTCCTTGGGAACATTTCTGGGACAATTTACTTTCCTTCTAGAACTCTGTTCTCCAGCAGCCAACCCTTTCCAGTTCCATCTTTGCATTTGCATTCTTGACACCTGGATCATCTCTGTATAAAACTAACCCTCTCCTCTTATCTTTCCGATCTCATTTGAGGGCCCAATACAGTTCTCGGGGCTTCCAAGCCACCTTCTCTGTTCTCCTCCCCAGCCCCTCTCCTTGGTTGGGAACCTCCTCTGGGCTAACCTACCCTAACCCTAACCTTAACCCTCTGGGCTCTCATGGCCCAGGGCCTTTCCCATCGCAGCTGTGATATAACTTTGGCCTGTGTGCTTCCCCTCTTCTAGCCTCTGCACTCTGAGCCTGGAGCCAGTCAGCCAGGTCATTCCTGACATCCACATATGGGTGGGAAAGAGAAACTCACCTCATCTTTAGCCTGGAGCAAAAACTCACTGCCATCTTGGGTCCTGCAGGAGGAGACACAGACTTGGAGGATCTGGGGAAGGGGCCCAGCCCGCTCTCTCCCACCACCAATTAACTCCTGGGGAGCCAAGGTCCTGCTGGGAAGGGGAACCTGAGCCTTGGATCCCACCCTCCTACCCACTGGGGTACTCACTGGAGTTTGAAGACATGCTTCTTTTTCTTGTAGTCACTAGCCACCTCGCTGGTGGCTTTGTGCAGGCTGAGCAACGGCTCCCCGCCGTGTGTGCCCCCTGACGCTGGGCCCTTGGAGTCCTTGTAGAAGCCCAACTCCCCTTTGCTGAGCACGCAATACAGGCTCACCCATGACCTGGGGTGACGAGATGGGGCTCAAGGCAGATCCGCAGTACTCTATCTGGGTACCTCTCAATACCCTTGTGGGCTGAATATGCCTGACCTTCCTACCTCTGGGCCTTTGCTCTAGTTGGTCTGTAAGCCTGAGGTGCTCTTCCTTACAAGCTGTTCTTGAACTGAGGGCGCACCTAAGTCTCCCAGTATCAAGCTTTTGTCCAGGCTAGCTCCCGCTGAGGTTGCCCTTCCTCATCCTCTGCTATTCCTGAAGGCAAGATTTAAACCTGTCTCCTCCATAAGCCTTTGCTCCATTCACTCCTCTGGACTCCTGCCCCACTCACAGAGGTCCCTCAAGATCAACTGATCTACTGTCTGGTCCTGTCTCCCCATCCAGTCAAAGCCTCAATCTAGAAGGAAGTCTCCCAAGAGCAAAATACATTAGGTGCTCCTATTTAATCCTGCCTTGGTTTAGGCATGAGACTACCTCCTGACACCATCACCAGAATCTGACCTGCTCTGCCCAGTTCACATCTCTGGCCTAGGCTTCACTCGACTAGTTAGGCAGTGCCACCCTTTTGGGATCCATCTGTCCACAAATTCTGCCTCCCCGTTAGACAAAAAGGGGTCGGACCACCAAGAGCTGGACTCCAAGGCTGTCCATTTGGAAACGTGTAGAGATAGCCCTTCTCCCACCACGCAGCTACCCGCAGCCCTGACTTTGGACTTCGCCCCTTTTCAGACCCTGCCCCGTTTTGGTTGATCTTGCGAGGCTCCACTTCAAACCCTCTAGACTAGAAACCAACTACAGTTTAACTACATTCAAATCTCCGTTTGCTGTGTGTATCGGTTCCAATTTATGACTTTCTTAACATTTTCGCCCCGCCCCCCCAAGCTCCACTCGCTCAGCCATTGGTCACACTAACCTTAGGCCTTGTCCTTCCTGATCATTGGTTCAACTCTTTGAAGTTGGGCCCCGCCCCTCCTCCGGTCCCACCTACCCCCGGGTGGGAGGGCCTAAAGTTGAGCCCCACCCCCGCCTCAGGCCCACCTATTCACTCATTGGACACCCTGAGCTTGGGACCCGCCTTCCAAAGCCCCGCCCACACGCTCACCGGTTGGACGACTTGCGATTAGCGTCGAGCTCGCGCTTGCGCAGCAGGAAGCCCTCGTGCTGCACTGTGTGAGTGGGCGGTGGCGGAGGTGCGGGGGCGGAGCCGCCCTGGGCCGGGGCGGAGCGCGAGCGCCGGCTTCCCCCGCCCTCACCACCCTCTCGCGGCCGTGGCCGCCGTGGGGGCCTTGCGC